TAACGAGATAAAGAAAGATTATTCAATAGGCATTTCCGAGATCGAATAAATATTGTTACTGTTGTCGAGGGTTAGTTTGCATCACAAAGTAGCCATCACACAGGCTAGTCTAACACGATTAAGACTAATTTATACAAAAAATATTATTGAATCTGATTGGCTGAGAGCAATGCAATTTTTAGTTTACACAGTGCAAAAACGAGGCTAATAATAGAAAAACAAAGACGGAAATAAATGCAAACATCTCAGAGAGTGGAGCACTTAGATTGTCTTGTAAACAATAGAATTATATGAAAACCAATCAGGCGACGAAACTCACGCGTGCAACTTTGACATTGCCTTGTATAACAGAGAGGGGTTTTGACTTTTCTCGGTCAATTTGGAATTTATTTGTACTCGTGTGCTTTTTTAAAAAGCTCAAAATGCGTTCGCCCGTTTGATACCTTTTGAAAAACACACTCATCCAAATAAATCCGAAATCGACAAGAAAGGTCCTATGATTACCTATACTACTTGCAATCACTTATCCCCACTATGATAAACAGGCAAAGTTCCTTACAGGGTGAAACTGCCCCACTTCAGCAAGTTTTCGCGCAAATCATTTTCCCACTATTTAGTCTAAATGTTACTTTCTCTTAACAAACACAGGGGTTCTGACAGTTTCATTGATTCTTTGGTTCGTTGGTTCATTCATTTAGTCATTCATAATAAGGTATCATGGGTAGTATCAGGGTCGGAGGCGCCTGGTCCCGCTCCTTTTTCACTAAAATCCCGCATCTTACCCGAAGTCTCGTCTTTGGCTGAAAAAAGCTTACAAAAACTAATAAATATAAGATAATTTGCCCTTTGGACTAAAAAATTGCAGTAAAATAAATGTAGTAACCAATCCCCCGCCTAGTCCCAGTCCGCGTGTTTACGTATAAGTAATTCGACTTTCGCGCGGGTTATGCAAATCGTAAAGTATCTTGCTCGAGTTCGCTAGCTGTTACAACTACGTTACGTTCTTTATCTTACTTCGTTCGCCGTATTCCCAAATCGTCAGGTAATGTCCTCTGTCTTCGTTTATCTCGTATTTCCTATGTTACCTGTATTTCCTACGTTATTTCCATTGTTGTAATTAGTCGTTCCGCTCTTAATGTATTATGTTTGTTACTTTATCCTAGAAACCACTGGCAACATCATGTAAATAAGGTTAAGAGTTCGAGTTGTTCCAGTTGCATTAAAACTCTTTTACGACTTATATTATTGCTGGTGCGTTGGCTACAATAAAGGTAAAATAAAATTAAAGCAGTAAAGACCCCCTAGCCTTGTCATAATATTTTGCATTTTCCCGAATCGCGCACCGGATCCCGAAAATACGATCAGTTTGTAGTACTTACTTCTCCAACGATTTTCGAATCTTTCTGAGGATTTTCTGTTGGCGATGCTTCACACCTGAGATATGATTGCTGTAAGCAACTTGATTCCCCAAACTTCGCTTACAAACATTGCAGTGATATGGCCCACGCGTGAAGACCTTAAAAACTGAATCATTTTCATCCCCACTCGAGTCAAGATCTTCGGATCCATCGACTGTTAATAGCTGAAGAGCGGCTGCTTCCCCGCCTCCAAAAACAATGCGATCTTGAAGCTGTTGGCACAGGTTTAGATGATAGGTGAGAGTGTTTAGAAGCTTTGAAAATGACACACCAAGTGTTTCGTACAAGAGACAAAACTCGCCTTGGTATATTTGCTTGAGTTCGTGCACAAACATGTCTTCTTTGCGATTTTTGTCTTCCAAAAACTTGACAAAAGTCTTTGCTACTATTTTCTCTTGATCGATGGTTCGGCGATTTTCTCTCCTTGTTCTTGAGCGAAATCGAAACATGTCGACGAAAGGCTGCAGAGAGAGAAGAGACAAGCAGTTTTAACTTGCTTCATTGTAACCGTGGTGTTTACCGATTGGTTCAAAAATTCAGGTCGAAGTTTACTTCTGTTGGAGCTTCTCAGACCTCTTGAACATAGCATCTAATCACCACCAAATCGAAACATAAGACTAACAAAAACCTCGTACCAGCACGACAATACGTTTTAGTACCTTTAGCCCTTTCAAAAGATCTTGCGGACATTAGTGATCATCCGTCCCACGATTCTAGCACTGAACACGCTGTTCACTGCAATATGTTTAATAATTAATCTCAAGATTAGCCTGGAAGCTTTCCATTTGGGGGATATCGTAAAAAGTACACGCGCGAGTCGCAGGTTATCTCAACACTTCAAGAAACTGGCGATGAAATTATTTCGATCCGCACCCACCTTAACAGTAAAAATAAATGAAACAGTGCGCGGAAAGTGACGTTTATCTCGATCCAGCAACTCATTTGGTGACATATACTAACAGTCCGCTATACTGAAAGTTGAAAACGTTTTTGTCCGTAAGGTCGCCTCGAGTGGTCTTAGCAGTGGTAAGACGTAAAGCTCATTTATACACAAGACCGAAACCAACCTAGAAGCTAAGCGCTTGTGTCACGACAGGAATCGTATATATCTTCTCATCTAACTTAAACTTACATTCTTTCCGGGCCTTAAGTATACTTCTATATATTCCTTTGCTGAAGAGGTATAGTGCAATAAAAGCTTCGTGAGCGACCAGACAAACTTGACCAAACTCGTACTAAGAACGTTTCCATGTGCATTCAGGCGAAGAAGTTTCTAGAAAGCGGCCGGCTGAAATGCGGCCATTGCAGTGTTAGTGGACTTGAAACCACTGCCAAGCCTTGCACAATTCTCAAACTTTCAATTCTTCAACCGATATACTTCTAAGTACGAACGTTTGGTACAAAATTTCATCGGTAAATACGAGTCTAATATTGAAAAACAATTACGCATTTTACACTTCCTTCCACCGGAAAGCAAAACGAAAAAAAGGTCATAGATGAGCTTTAATAAAAGATCATACATTTTCTTAAAAACTGATCACTTTGTGAGAAAAGGCACGTTCTAATAAACAAAGTAAGAACGCTGTCGAATCGTCGATCGTCCATCTCCGATCGAATCAGGAAATTAATGTAACATGCAGGATCCCGGTCCTTACCGGCCTCTCTGTTAGAGATCTGATTTACGTAAAATGCTCGCTGACTGAAATATTTAAGTCATTAAAGTGAAAAGGACCAAAAACGTACCTCAAATCCCTTTGCTAAACGAAACAGTAGCGCAAAATGGAATGGTTTTGGCAAACGTTCCTCCCAGTCTTGGCTTCTTGGTATTTTAGTTGGATGACGTCATTTTCCAAGAAACCAACCTCGCTTTGACGCTCGACTAAATAAGGTTTACGTAGTATGTTTGCCAGCGAACGTTTCATCGGTCGAAAGTGTCAACGGCGATACTCGGTAAATCTTGGCAATTAAGGTAAGTTGAATTTGCTTCTAATCAATGACCATTTCGTACTATGATCGAAATACTAGGTGTCCTGCGAAATGTGATCTAAAAATAGCTGATTTTTAAACTACACGTACTGGATTTACTAGCTAGCTTCAGATATTAATAAGCTTAAATAAAGTTTCTTGAAATAAAACTATTGAACCCAAACAAATCGAAAAACATTGCGCTTGAGTGTCAGTTATTGTGACTCTGTAGTTACTGTTTTGTGCTGATCCTGAAAATTAGACTATCAAACAAGGATCAATTATGCGTTACAGATGCAGCTTTGCACGTATTATTGACTGCATCGGTCTGTAGACCACTATTCTATAGACGTAGCTACTTTGCTATAGTTAGATCTTGGACTATTTATTTTCTTTAAACCTAGGGTTTGACTATATAAGATGGCTTCTTGAAACGTTTGAACTGAAAAGGCTGCAGGCTATTTCTGACCCTCATTTTTTAAAGTTCGGCGAGATTTTGTCGGCCCTTCTTTGAAAACGGCGAAGGTCTTCTTGCGTGTGACCAACATAACAGTGCTGTTCAGTCGGGAATGGATATGACTGAAATGTTCTTTAAAAATCGCCGAGCCCAGCATAAGGAGACAAATAGGCATTAGTGTATAACGCGACGTGCCACGGTCGGCTGATTTACCGCCGGCTGATGTTGATTGATGTTGGCTTCTAAACTGTTCAAGAAAATTGATTTAATTTACTTTTAATTATAAGATTTTCACTGACGTGACTGTTTAACATTTTCAAACAACTCTTGTGTCTCATCTTTATAACTATGTTATTCGGTTTTAGTCCACCTCTGAAGTTTTACGATTTGCCTCAAGAGGGGTTATGAAACACCCAACGACGTTTTTCTGCAAACAAACTGTTCGCCGGAGCAAATATTGCCTAGAAATTTCTAAAGCTCGAGAAAGGATAAAAATGTCTCCTTTCGAAAAAGATTTTCGGAGTTTTCCGTACTAACTTACGAACGATTTTTGGAGGTTTTGTTTTTCTCCTTTTTCTCTATCAAGATATTACGATTATCATAAACCAGGTCTCCTGAAACTGGATTTCGTTGAGGAGACAAAACCGTCTCCTAGAATTTTCCGGTGGTGGAAGTGTGGCTACTCTGATGTCCTCGAACTGTCGACTGGACTCATCAGGGTAGCTAAAAGCCACCTAAAACTTTCGAGACGACCAAAGTACCCCTGAGATATCCGGAACAGATAAATGTTTTTATGGATGCTCCAAATTTACTAAACACGCTTGTAAAAAAGAGACTCCGGTTGAGAAAATTCCGGAAACATTCGGTCTTTGAGTGCCCCTAACCGTTTGCCTCAACAGAAAAGTCTTACTTCGGTTGACAAATTTTTGCAGCGTTGTGTTTGAATTCTATATCGATCTGGAAATTAACCATGAATATTTTTTGGTAGAAGTTCATGATCCTTGTCAAACATCACGGAACAAATATAAACAAAGCCAATGCAAGTATGAATGATCAGAATGATCATGCTCAGCGATCCATAGGTGTTTTTTTCTCAGTGCATAAACCGTGTTGTTGTGAGTGTCTGATTCCAGTTTACTGTGCTTCAAATTGTTGCAGGAATGGCAACCTCAGGCTCTTCAGGAACAGTGGGCCAACTCGTCAAACCAGAGTACAGAAACTGGCTCGCTCTTGGACATGCTCTGATAACCGAACTTTGTCTTGGTTTACGTCCATTTATTAACCGGGAGATGGCGACTTTCTATCAGAATTTGAAAGCAAGGCTTGCAGTGTATGGGCCCTGTAGGTGCGTATATGTCTCAAGACGACGCCCAAATCAGTACCATGACATGGGCACGTGTGCTTGGGCTAATATTCTTGAGCGTCACCATCATAAAAACAGACCAACCTGGAAGCAAAGTGATGCTACAAAATGGCTGGATCCCCTTCTTGGACCCTGGGAAATAGCCAAGCTCTTCTTGCCTGATTTGGGAGGAAATGTGGTGATAAAGAAAGCAGAGGACATGGACATTACCGGTTTACTAAACCTGATGTATTTCTGCAATCACTTCACCATTTCTCAGCACTTGATTAAGGAGGTACGTGAAATCAGGAACAACAAGTGGGCACATGTTTCTTCACAAGAATTGACTGATGCAGACAAGAAAATTGCATTTGATGCTATTGAAAATCTGCTTAGTGATCCTCGGTTAGCTCACGACCCTGACATTCAGAAAGCTCTCAAGGAAATTCGCAACCTTAAAGGAGTTTCAGACCTGCACAGTATGGAGGCCCAGGTTTTAGCTGATTTGAACGAAGTGATTCGAAAGGATCTTTCAAACATAAACACAGAATTGGCGAACTTGGCAGAAGAGTCTGAAAGGAACAAAGAAGAGCAAAGTAGGCTACGAAAACAACAGAAGATGCTAAAGAAAGCTTTGGTAGACCCGACCTACTGGAAACGTAGTTTCTTAAATACTTCGTTTAATTTTTTTTGGTATATTTTGGGGAAACTATCAGGAAGCGTTAAAGGTATCCGAAGAAAAAACGTGGTTGCATGGCTAATGTTGTTGCTGCTTTTCCACTGTAATGTTACTTTGGATGACTCATACAATAGAGAAGGTAAGTTTATGGTCAATTTAAGCAATAGACAACACTTTGTACGGGTTTACCGGCGTGATAACCCACCTGGAACGTTGAAAGAACACGACAAAAGCTTGTAAATCACGAGCAGAAGGCGAGTGATTTTACAAGCTGTTCGAGTGTTCTCCCAACATCCCAAGTGGGTTATCACGCCGGTAAACCCATAGAAAGTGTTGTTTATTGCTTTTATAAAGTAACTCTAACAGTTTTCTATGAGTTTACCGTCACAATAAACCATAGGTTTTTAACCAATCAGAACACGCCTACTATCTTAGTTATTTTATAAAGATCAGTAGGGCTAAGACGTCAATTTCTATGATAAACGGTACGTTTTTCTGTGAATGCGGACAGACTGGATGGTACTTCTTTTGGATAGGTTATAAAAAGAAAAAAAAAACAAAGGTTATTGTTAACGTGGTCATTTCTCACGGGAATGTCCGAGAGACGTAACATTTTTAGAATTATTAACATAATTATTAAAGGTGAGGTTAAAAAATGCTATATATCTTTAAAATTCCATTTGATTAGTGCTTCATGTAAACCTCATGTCTGCATTATCTTTAGTTCCTTGTACGATTTGCCAGTGGAGTGCATCAGCTTCTCAAAAACTTGCAACTTTTCCTAAGCACTGATCTGCACGCAAACGAAGTTGTACAACGTTAGTTAAATATGGTAATAATTTAGGACCTGCGACTTTGTGTTCAGAGTTGCTAACCATTGACAATAGAAGTAAGTTGTAGGGATTTTTTATTACAGAAAAGCTAGAACGGTTCTAGCGCAAGCTTTCTAGACTAATTCTGCTTCGGCTAAGCTCAGCCTGCGCATTATAGATTACTGTGGTATTTTTCAGTGAAAATCCTGGCTATTGGACGTGCAGCTCATGTAATAAACTAAAAAAACTAAAGAAAATGTAACTGTCAGGCTTACTCGTGACACTACTCAAATTGCAATGTAGAGAATATTATGTTATTTTCCGCAATGGCCTATTATTTTATAGTTCATAGGACACTGGAAAAACCAAATGTGCAGTTTATGCGGGATTCTCTCCCAGCGTAAAAGCCATAACTAGCTAAAACTGATAGCATTGAACGATTCAAGGCTTGTACCCATCGTCAGGTCAATTACAATAAAGCCTTTCGTCAAAACAAGGGAGCTGGATCGCAGTTTGCGGTGCAGTGAAATACGAGAAGAGTATCAAGTTTTTGTAAGTCGATAATAGCTGCAAGCGGGGGCACTTTATGAAATATTGCTTCTGTATTAGTTCTTCCAAACGCCCATCCTCGGAGACCCAGGGGCAGTCAGTCGGGCCGGGAGAAAAGGCGCGACAAAAGTCTTCAAGCACAGGCGGAAAAGCCCCTGGGTACCGACTCTCACCGGATCATTTCCGAACGGTCAAGCGAATGCTGGCTCCTGATTGGGCACAAAAAATGCTCTGTATTATTATGCCCAATCGGCGAACAGCATCTCTTGAGTTCTTTTCGTGAGTTCGTACACGACGGCTATTGACTCGATCACGGCTTGTCTGGCTCATGCACCAAAGAAACGCACGCAATCAGGACAGTTTGATATAAACGCTACATTTCAAAATACTGGTAGTCTTTACACTAGAGCCTAAATAAGCTAAGAAATATTTCAAGACAACTAAATTTTAAATTCTTCAAGTAAAAGAAAGCTTCACACACAACCTATCTTTTTCACTTCAGGTTTTCCCCCGCAACATAATTAAGATTGATTGACATGCTTCGCCTTTCTCAAAGCTTGGAAACCGCAAGTTCGCTAAGTCGATTTTAATGACACGCAAAGTAAAGTTACTTGAGATTTTGCTTAGGCTTTCACACACACATTTTTGGTTAAGTAAAACTTAGCAGCTCTTAAGTATTACTTACCAGCCTAGTGTAAAGACAACCACTGTCTACACGAAAACTAAAGACGCTTTTCCAAAAATACAAGCTTGAGCTTACAACTGACAGGTATTCACGCTTGCATCGATCACGCCTTCGTAAATCTTAGGGAGTTTTGTATGTCACGACAGCTGACAACCACGAAAACGTCGCATGAAGAATGAACTCACATTTTTTTCAGTCTTTATCGTGATTATTCCAGCTTACTTTGTCAAATGCAAGCGAACTCTTCTGGAGCTGAATTTCTATCAACCATATCCAAGTTTTCCCTGCTAGCAGAGGTCTCTCACGACGAGGCAAAAATAAGAGAAAGGGGAGAGGTCTCTCTCCTTTCTCTTATTCTTGCCTCGTCGTGAGAGACCTCTGCTAGCAGGGAAATCCAAGTTCATAAAGAGAAAGAAAATTTTGTCATTGCTTGTTTACGTCCTTCACTGAAACGTGAAATTAGGCATTTCAACGTGTTAGTCGTGCAGTGACGGCAAAGAAATATACAAAAAAGCGTGATGCACATGCAAAGTTGTTGTTTTGCCTTGTCAAGCTATTGCTTTTTTTACTTTCTCGTCGCCGCTTCATCTTAAACTTCCTATTATTTACGATACATTGTGATCCGTCAGAAACAGAATTTTCTCAGTGCAAATTAAATTGCTCCTGCTGATAGCATCCGAAACGTTTTTCGACTCATCGGTAGTTCCTTCGTTTCTGGTTAGCAAAGCTTGCTGAACGAACCGGGCAACTGTGGCGAGATAATAGCCGTTGTGTACGAACTCACGAAAACAACTCAGGATATGCTGTTTTCCAATTGGGCACAATAATACAAAGCATTTTTTGTGCCCAATCAGGAACCAGCATTCTCTTGACCGTTTGGAAATGGTCCGGTGAGAGTCGGTTCCCAAGGGCTCTTCCGCCCATGCTTGAAAACTTTCGTCGCGCGTTTTAACCCGGCCCGACTGACTGCCCCTGGGTCTCCGAGGATGCCAAACGCCATGCCGTTCTTAAATTTCGTCAAGCAATATAGGAAAAAATTAACAGTAAAAAACTTACGTTCACCTGTTTTGTACAGTCTGTTCGATCCAGGTCTATGGTGATCCATGGGAGTTAAAGTACTTTGACTTCAGTGACTTCATCATCTCATCCAGTAAGGAATTTATCGGACGTCGGTGGCTCTACAACGAATTGGAAGGTATTTTAGAAAACAGCCGCAATCGTGGTGCGTTGATAATTGGAGATCCAGGCGCAGGAAAATCTGCTTTTCTAAGTAACTTGCTCTGTTCCACAACATCCAGCCCACCTGTTCACTACAGAATTCTTGGACATCATTTCTGTATGCATTACAACAAAGCAACACAGGATGGTGCAAAATTTGTCCAAAATCTAGCAAATATGATCGCTTGGAAGCTTAGTGGCTACCACGAATATCTCTTGAGAAACTCGTTTGTCCGCAGAGTGCTGCAGAGAGATTGTTCCCAAGATCCTGAGTGGTGTTTTGAACTGGGAGTTCTTACGCCCTTGAAAAACCTCCACCCACAACCAAACAACCCTTGGTATATTATAATCGATGCTTTGGATGAGTGCGCCAGTGACAAGGCAGAGATTGTAAACATTCTGAAATCTAAATCCCATCGACTTCCGAAGTGGATGAAACTTATAGTCAGTTCACGTAATTTAAGCACCATTATTTCAGGTCTAGGAGGATTCCAAAGCGTGGAGTTACGATCAGACGATGATAGAAATCGTGAAGACATTGACACATATTTGTCCTTAAAAATGTTTTCATTGAGCCAAAGCATGGTACAAAAAATTAAAACATCTCTTGCAATCTTAGACAACGACAATCCAAGTCAAAAGATGGTTTCGACCTTAGCTGAAAAAGGTCAAGGAAACTTTTTGTATGTCAAGGTTGTCTTGGACCTTTGGCTAACTTCTACAGAGAATGACAAGTGGGAGACATTTCCTAAGACACTAGAAAGTTCATACCAATTGTATTTTGAGAGGAAATATAGTGCTCCGGAATCCTTTCAATCCCTCCGCCAAATATTCGAAGTTTTGGTTTCGGCCTATACGCCTCTTACAGTTCAAGAAATGTACTCGTTGTTTCAACTTGACCAACCTAGTCTTGACCTGGAATACGAATTTCTGCCAAAACTTGACGAGGTCTCTCTGTTCTTGTGGCATGGATCGGAGGACGGTCTCATCAGAATTCATCATTCTTCTCTATCTGAATGGCTGACTAGCGAGCTCAACAAAGGGAAGTTTTATTACGTTAAGAAGAAAAATGGGCATAACCGACTTGCTCGCTACTATCTTTTGAAAGCAGAGGAAAATAATTCACCACTAAAACCCCGTGAAGCACTCTATCTTACAAGTCACATAGTCGAAGGTGGTTTGAACAAGTCTCTTGAACAAAAATTTCTTTCACTTCCTTCGGGACGCATAAACACCACAGATCCTTTAACTCAAACAACCGCACTTCACCATAGTTCAGACTGGCTCAATACCGATGTAACTAAGCTGTTGATGCAGCACTTTTCAGATGTTGACTGTCCGGATAATAAATTGCGTACGCCCTGTTTTATAGCAGCAACGTCAGGACATGTACATATTGTCAAGGCTCTCTTCGAAAGAGGGGCCGACCTTGACCATACCACTAGCTGCTCGGACATCGGTATTGCGTCTTATTCTCTAGATCCCGTAAGTGAATGCAAAAGGACAAAGTGTGGTTATTCGTTACTGCATTCAGCGGCTCAAGAGGGCAGAGTGAGTGTTGTCCAATTTCTTGTCCAACACAACGTGAGCTTGTCGAAGACGACAGGAGCCAACAATACTGCCATACAGTTAGCTGCAGCTTATGGGCATCTTAAGACCGTTGAGACCCTCAAAGAGGCTGGTGGTGTTTTGGATGGCACCTGCTTACATCATGCCGCAGTTGGCGGTCATAAAGAAATTGTCCAGTATCTGTTGCAAGAAGGAGTAAGAGATTCTTGCATCTCAAGCACTCCTCCTTTTATACCCTCAGTCCAAAAGGACAAAAAATTCATAAGCTCAGAATGTTATGTGTATGATAATCTTCATATCTATTTGCGTGAAACTGCGCTTCATGCGGCAGTCAAGAAAGGACATCTTTCCGTTATTGGATTACTGCTAAATAACCTAGATCAAAGTGCCATAAACTGCACAAATTCTGCAGGCAGACTCCCACAACACGAGGCTGTACACTTACGTAAATATAACGCACTGGAGGTCCTGTTAGCATTTGGGGCAACTCCTAATGTTGGATGTGATACTGTAATATCACCACCATTGCCATTTATCTTGGGGGAAAACCGTTGTCACTGTGGATTTACTCCTCTACACATCGCTGCCATGTATGGACATCAAAGTATTGCGCAACTGCTGATAGAGAACAAAGCAGACGTCAATGCAGGTGACTGCAATGGATCGACTCCTCTTCATGTCGCCACCTGCCAAGACATGTCAGCATTTGTCGTCCTGCTCGTTAAGAACGGAGCAGATATTAATTCAAGAAGCCTGAATGGTTCTACACCACTTCACATTGCAGCAGCTTGCTTTGGAAAGAGCGTTTTCTACCCTTTGTTTGATATGGGTTGTGATCACTTATTAATTGACAACGAGGGGATGACAGCGTTACACTACATTGTAAAAGATGTTAATATAACCATCACTGACTACTTGACAGATTTGTACGTTAGAAATCCGAAGGACTGGATAGAAAACCCAAGGCGAAATTCTCATGATGAGACAATGGACAAATTGGACCGAACATATCCCTGGTTAAACACCTTAGCAGAGGTCATCAGAAGTTTCACGGCAGCCGAAAGAGGGGGATTATCTATCTTTTTGGAGATGGAAGATAAGAAAAACCAAACAGTTTTCAGCATATTAGAAGAAAAAACCAACGCTTCGTCTCTTCTAATAGGAAGCAGTAGAATCAGAGGTCTTTCGTTGGTGTTATCTTTAACTCCATTTCTTTTTGCCTACGATACCGCATGTTACCAAACAGCAATAACCCGCGCTTTACCTTTAAAGAATCAGTATTCATCTTCAATACCAATATCTTTTAAGAGTGTTATATCAAAAACACTAACATCATTATTGACAAACATAAACTGTTCTACACTGACAAGGTTTGTAAAGTTCCGGCTGGTCCATACAGTCAACACTGTGTTACAAGCTAGTGCAGTGGATGTTAACTGCCGTGATGATTTAGGAATAACTCCCCTACTGATGTATCTACGAACTGGTGGTCGGCATATGGCCAAAGTCCTGGTAAAACATGACGTAGAAGTTAAAATCATCTGCGGAGATCCTTTTGAAATCTCGACGTTTCATCTAATTTCATATCATAAATTACACTACCTGCATTACCTCCACGAATTTTTCCTTGGGAGTGACAATTGGCAAAAATATTTGGTGTCAAAGGATGCAATGTTTGACTATTTCCTGGACAACTATGAGCAACAAGATGACCCAAGGAATGGAACTAGTGAATCTGTAAGAACCGGAGTTGGGCTATTAACCAAAGCCATTTTGTCACATCCAAATGGATCAAAAGTTATTGACGAATGCTTCGATGAAGAGGGCTATAATGCTCTCCAAAGAGCCTCTCAAGGCGCTAATTTTCCTGCCATCCAGAAATTTCTCTCATTGGGTGCAAACCCCTTCTTAGAAACAGCCAATGGCTTTTCCCCTTTATGGCTTTCAGTACTACATGCTGTTAAGTATAGACCCTTTCTTAACTTTGAAAAACCTTGTATCATGACAGCTCTAGAGGTGGAACTGGCTTCACTCTCAGCATCCACATTATTAAATCACATTCTAGAAAACAGAATATTTGACGTGGGATGCGATGCATCACGCTCTGACCTTACCCTGTATCACATCGCAGCTTCTCGAGGAATGTGGCAATTTGTCGCACACTTGCTTTCCAGCGAAAAAGTTACCGGAATTAATGTAAACTGCCCTAACGAAGACGGCATAACTCCTCTATATTTGGCGACTATCATCGGTGGTGACTCATGTCAGGTACAAAATTCATGGTGTAAAGTTGGTAACATCATCAAAAGTTATGGAGGGACTCTTCAATTTCCCACCATGGAAGCCGAATATTTCCTTATCTTTAACATCTTTTTCGGAATGAACCCCAGTCATTTATTTCTCGAGCTCACTGAAGAAGAAATTCTTGCTCTTAACCAAAACTGTGGACGCGGCGAGTGCCAGGAATATCACTCCAGGAAGGCGGACATTTTCAAAACTTCCGATGAAGTGGATAGGGTGCATAATAGTTACCAGACCGAAGTTGACAAATGTTCAAGATTTATTGAAGAATGTCCGCCTGACATTAAGACGGAACTGTGTCATTTCTCAGATGTGATGCTAATGTTTGACAAACTAGTGACCTTAAAATGTGAATTTTTGCTTATCCGAAATTCATTCATACGTTTTCTTGACAAAGAGATAGAAAGACTGAAACATCTTTTGCATACTGCAACGCGACCTCATTTAGAAATGACATGCATACCAGAGCCGCCTCCAGAGGGAACATTTGACATGTGTAATGAATTCTCGAAACCAGCACTTTCAGTTCATGACTTGTATCGTAATTACAAACAAAAATTAGATTTGGTCATGGAAAACTCGAATGAAGTAAAATCTTCCATGACTTTGAATGGAAGACTTCCACGTTATTTGAGAAAAATGAACTCAGTCCTGAACAGTTACGATAAAACGTTGAACTGTGACTGGCAAGTAGTTGCCATCAAGTACATACAACTGATCTTTCAAGTTCGTAACTTCAACATTTGGCAAGAGGCTGTAAGCAGAACTCAAACTGTACCGAGTGTATCAGAATTTTTGTCACAAAGAATGACAGATGTAATTCTTCAACCGGCCGATGAATCACTACGACTTGTGTTGAAACTTGCTTACAAGAAGTCTTTTGGAACCTTCAATTATCTCAGAATTTTGCGATTTACAAAGCCACCATTTTGGAGCGAAACATTTTCTGGAGTAGGAAACTTCGGGTAAATTAAAATTTCGGTAAGACATCCATGATTAAGAAAAGCGATGTTCATAAATTGCAATGGGCTCTTCAGCAAATTTTAAGAGAAGATATTTAAACTCTAAGGTCATTTTGGGCAAAGAAATCATGAAGGTATGAAAAGCAAGTGTTATACGCCATTACGACTTTTCTATCGATCTATTATATTTGGGGATTTTGCACAACGCACGAAAGTTTGAATATTAAACTTGGTTTAAACATGTATATTAGGCCCCGTCCACACGTATCCCAATATTTTTGAAATCGGATATTTTTCTCCGTCGCTTGAACCGCACACCAAAAACGAAAATCAAAAAATTTCAAGTGTCAAGACAAAAACGGAGGTTTTTTGAATAACATGATGTCATACATTACACAGCGCATGCCCTGTAGAGGATTCTATCGTATTGTTTTCGTGGGGACAGGCCAAAACGATTAGAATAAGCTACGTGTGGACGCGTATGTTATTGGAAAACGGAGGGAAAATATCCGTTTTCGAAAACCTTCCAGATAAGTGTGGACAGGGCCTTAGTTTGATGGTAAGGTTACGCTATTAGTAAAAACACGGTCAAACAGCCAAAATATGGCATTGAATATATTAGCTGGGTAAAAAGCATTACGTTCTTTAGGAACCAAACTCCTTATCCAAGAATTTCTCCTCTAAGCTTAGTATCCAAGCTCTCAGTGAAATCGCATGATCCGCATGTAATGTCCAGTAAAGCCGCACAATAAAAAATCATCAGAATCATTTTAAGAGTTTTTATGCTTATCTAGTCCTTACGGGTAATTTGATTACCTCACCGAACGAGAAAAACTGCCCGACTCGCTAATTGACTGGCACACTCTGACTTCTATGAAAAAAACAGCAAATTCTTGCTATTATAATAAGTCTTAGTCAAGATGATTTAGTGGAACTCGTAATATAAAACTCTTGCCTTTGCGTCTCTCGGTTATTTTTGTTCTCATTGTTGGAAAACTGGAAAATTCCTTACAGTTTTCTACTTTCGTGTAAATCCAAAGTAACAACAACAATAAATGTTCAAGGTATTTTTAAGGGTTTCCGAAGATAACACCTGCGTACCCTTTTAAATATAACACAACTTGCATTTCCGTGAGAGGTGCGAGTCGGTCATTCATTTTAACGAGGACTGGATTTATTTTAAATTTGCCATATAGACTGTTAACGGGGAATAAGTGTTATTTTTCAGCACTATCGCCACAAATTGGCAGATAGTTAACACTTCATCCTGATTTCGTCATTAAACTCAACCGTGTGTCTAGCGAGAATCAGTCCGAGCAACGCCAATAGTAAACAAGATGATACTGAATCCGGATCAAGACTTCAAATCCCGTATCTTCATCATCAACGGGGCCATACTTCTTTTATTTGCCGTTCTCATAACCATTTCTAATGGAGTGCTCTTATTCATGATATACAAAGATCCCCTGAAGACTTTTCGCAACGCCACCGCAGTTCTGGTCATCTCGCTGGGTTTTGCTGATCTTCTGACAGGATGTGTTACTGCTGTGGATGTTGGGATATCCCACATTCTGGAAGGACTTGCCATTCAAAAGGTTTTGCTTCAAGCGAAAATCATTTCGCAAATTACCGTGCGCGCGGGCGTGTTTATTATCACGATGTTTGCCGTGGAGCGTTTCATAGCCGTCGTCTTTCCTTACTTTTACCGTTTCTCTGTGACCGTCAGAAAGGTAACTTTCGGATGCGTTTCCTGTTGGCTGCTCGCGATCCTAAGCAGTTGTCTCGAGTTGGTAGTTGATCGCGATGTGTACGATGTGATATTTTTGTATATCACATTTTTCGTTCCACTTCTCACCGTATGTGTGACTTATTGCACGACCTACTGGGTCTTAAAAGACAAGACAAAATGGCTGCATCGACTTCATAGTGCAAACAAAACCACAAGGAAGGACGAGTATCCAAAAAATCCGAAAAATTTCAAATAGAGCTGATGAAAACCGCTATGTTGATTAATTTCGTCTTTGTTCTACCCCTCGTTCCTTTCTGGTCCTTGACAATTATTGGTAGATATTGCAAGAGCTGCAAACAGGAAAAATGGTATATTGCTTCTTACAGATTTTCCATCCCAGTCCTGTACAGTAACTCTGCCTTCAATCCGATTTTATACGCGTGGAGAATGCAACCCTATCGTCGAAGCAAAGTGTCATTCGTCTTCAGACACAGAGTTGTCAAGAGAAGGTCTTTCTTTTGTCCATGTAGATATAAAACCGTAAAGTGACGAAAAAATGTTAAAAGTAGACATCTTCATTGATTAATTGATAGCACGGCTGAATGCTTATTTATAACTGACATTATAAGTGCGCGTGCTTGCCCTATATAAGTCCTACTGAGCCGCTATGAACAATTTCTTTATTTACGGACGCCCGTGCGTAAATAAAGATTTTTTTCATGATGACGTGTTCAGCCGTGTTTTTCGTCTCTTTTCCTATGAGTTTGACTAATAGTCGCGGGTCGCGGGTCGCGGGTCCAATGTCGCGGCAGGGAAAAATCATTGGAGTTCGATTTAACTGAGTGAAAACGAAAAAAATATAAAGGGAAAAAAATCGTTTTTACGCACGATACTCTACGGTAGCCAATTTTCCAGAATGAGAGTGCCAAAAGAATTTTGACGATCATTACCGTTTTTCACAAAATTAATCAGTTCATATCAGTCTCCGAGCTTTTCATAGCCAAAATTAAGGCACCTATCAATGGTTTGCCCCAGGACTTTTGTTATCGCCCAACAATCCGACTGAAGCAGGAAAATTTTTGTAGCAATAACAAGACAAATTACACAAGAACACAAATTTATTTATCACAAAAATAGCTGCTGCCAGCTCTTCTCAAGAAGCCGTAATGACCAGCCAATGTTCGTAAGTGAATGTAAGTCTGAAGAAGGATGAAAGTCGTCTTCGCTAAAAAACATGTTTTCTGGATTCCGCCGAGCAAAACGTAAACATCTTTTCAGCAAATCCAGGCCATACTCCACGACTTTCGTGCTCTCCAAACTTCCCGCGTGCATCCATAACTCGATATACGCACGCTAAGCATGAACAAATTCTTGAATTTCATGAAGTTCAATTGTTCACTGACCAACCGACAAGTCTTTTTTTACTTTCAGCCACAACTAATGTAATTTTTTAAAATACTATAAGATATTTTGTTTAAACTTTCCAGATTCTGAGCTCAACCCTTCTCCTCAACTATGTTTTGTCCGCGCGGGTGATTTCAGGTTAGTATTCTGATCGTGGCAGGAATATTGTAATCGAATTATGCACCTATCAGTGGTTTGCAGAGGATGGGGTAGGAGGCAGGCAACTCACGGAAATTTGACTTAGTGAAGCGCACGCGGGTAGGGAATTTGACATCCTGAACGTCTCTAGGATGGGAAATTTGACTCACTGCCATCTTGGNTTCGTAAGTGAATGTAAGTCTGAAGAAGGATGAAAGTCGTCTTCGCTAAAAAACATGTTTTCTGGATTCCGCCGAGCAAAACGTAAACATCTTTTCAGCAAATCCAGGCCATACTCCACGACTTTCGTGCTCTCCAAACTTCCCGCGTGCATCCATAACTCGATATACGCACGCTAAGCATGAACAAATTCTTGAATTTCATGAAGTTCAATTGTTCACTGACCAACCGACAAGTCTTTTTTTACTTTCAGCCACAACTAATGTAATTTTTTAAAATACTATAAGATATTTTGTTTAAACTTTCCAGATTCTGAGCTCAACCCTTCTCCTCAACTATGTTTTGTCCGCGCGGGTGATTTCAGGTTAGTATTCTGATCGTGGCAGGAATATTGTAATCGAATTATGCACCTATCAGTGGTTTGCAGAGGATGGGGTAGGAGGCAGGCAACTCACGGAAATTTGACTTAGTGAAGCGCACGCGGGTAGGGAATTTGACATCCTGAACGTCTCTAGGATGGGAAATTTGACTCACTGCCATCTTGGAAAGTGCAGAGGGACGTGGGAATTAGTGATAAGTGGTCCGCCATCTTAGATGAAAATACCCAGTAGTCATTTTCATGAGTTTTCCGCGTTTAGTTAGAGGTACCTTGTTGCTTTTTAAGCAAAAAATGTTGTTTTTAACATCCATCAGTTCGCTAGATGCCGTCCCACCACGAGGTTTCGTTATAGCGAAAGATCAAAAAATCATATGCCCAGACATGAAAATAGTCCTGGAATTCTGTTTTAGATTTGCTAATAAACTCCAAATGTCCAGTTAAATAAAAATCTAGACCTCAATTACAAACATCGGCTCTTAGACATTAACCCATCTTGATGATGACATGTTCTGGCACTGCACATTTTTTTATTGCTGTAATTACTATGTGAAACAATTCACAGGTACTTTCGGGAGTACAGAAAGTGTTAAAGTGCCAGCCATGTTAGATATCTAGCTAGAATATGTCTTCTTCATTTCGGAAATGAACAAAGTCTGTGGGTATCATTTGTCACCAAGTAATTACTCCATGGAGACGCTGAGTGTTGATTGTTGTGAGGGCCTATTAGTTCGCCCCATGGGTGGCTCAAAACAGGGACCCAAGGGTGGGGAAATTGACATTTTAAAACCTGAAAATGTCAAATTTCCTGTGGGTTGCCCCCTCGTCCATCTTGGGGCAAATCATTGATAGGTGCCTTAATTTTGGCTATGAAAAGCTCGGAGACTGATATGAACTGGCTAATTTTGTGAAAAACTGTAACGATCGTCAAAATTCTTTTGGGACTCTCACATTTGCAGCTGCGAGGCCATTTTCCGCTATCTGCTTAATCACCGTGCCAAAAATGACGCTGTTGTTTTCCATCTAAAAAGGAGGTCTTATTCAAAGAAGGGTTCAAAGGATTCTGGTACCTCTGACTCCCCTTTTCACTTGTTTTTTTACAATCCGTAACATTAGTTTTCAAATGACAATGCTTTGCCTGCTCCATAGTTTAAAACAAGTAACATGACTTGGAAAATAT